TTTGCAAGCTGAAATATGTTTAACTTTTATACAAAGCTATTTGAATAATAGCTTTTATACAAACTAGCTTTTATATGAAGGAATCTCTCAAGTTTCCTGTAATGAGCAGAAAGGGAAGAGCTATTTTGCAAACATTTACAGAAGTAGTAGAAAGCTTGGAAGATCTCTGAAGGGGACCTTTTTCTCTGCTGTTGCCTAGTCTGAGCAGGGCAGAGGTGCTGGATTGTTGAATAGGACAGGAACGGGGATGGCAGATCATCTGTGCATCTGTCTAAATGTTTGTTTTCTGTTGCTTTGTAACTTTATGCAAGAATCTGGGCTGAATGTCTCAGCTCTTTCATTCTCTTGGAGGATCTTGTTTGAATAACTGCTTTTATCAAAGCTGCTCAGGTGCAGACTGTGTCTTGTGCAAGCATGTAGTATTGTGGTTACATTCCTGGTTCAGAGCTTTTTGAATTGGGAAGAATCCTTATGGTCTGTGGCTCTTGGGACTTTTTGGGTCAGCAGACTTGATTTGAAGCTGAGCTTTCGTAGTGGCAGTCAATAATGGATTCAAATACTAATTATAACCTTGGCAGTATTTTGTGCCTACTAGAACAGTAATGCCATAGGGCTTTTCCTCAGTGCTCAGGCAGATATCATAAACCCAAGTTAGACATGACTAATGGTAAATGCTAACTAAGCTAAGTAAAGGAAATGCCACTTGCTCTTTCCCAAAACTTGTATTGATTACTATAGTCTCTCAAAGTAGGGCTTGTTTCATGAGAACTAAGTTTCTGCACCTATGTTTCTCCTCCAGACTGAGACAAACTGAGAAGTGTTCTTGTTTCCCTGTGTCACAGGGAGTTCTCTCACCAGGAAAACTCTTCTCTTGTTCTGTTTTGCTATAGAGTTCATAATGCTGTGAGCCTGTTAGGGTAAAGGAGACAAAAATAAGAGGGAAAATAGGTACATCTCTAAAGGAAAAGTGTGCCTTGCTTCTGTTCCTTAGGACCTGTAGGAAATAAAGTTACTGGGACCTTTTGGTATCAGGAGAAAATCCATTTTTGAAAAGCAGCAGAACAAATCAATTGGTGCAAGTAGAACTATTACTTGGTGGGGGGAAACCCCCACCCAAAATTTCTCCCTTTTGACTTCCATTCTTAAAGGAGTGCAGGAGGATTTCCCATACCATAATAGGCAAAAGATTTTGCAGTACAGAATTCTTGTATAATACAGTCTTGGAAAAAAATATGAGAAGATATTGAATGAAAAACAACCAACAGGTTTTAGGTATTGAAACTAAATATCTGAAATATGATCTTGGTTGGTGGAGGGAGTCGGTTTTGATGAGAATTTTTAAAAGAATTTTGTACCCTTGAAGTGAGTGACATGTTAGCTGCTAGGAAATTTCCTTGTGAAGTTGTATGGTTATACTTCCAGAAGTCCATGTAGGACATGTAAGTCAATGTACTTTAAAATTAGGTAGGCATGTGTACATGTATATTAACACTGCCCTGGTGGAAGAGCAAATACTTGAAAGCCATGCTAGAAATGTTAAGAGTAGCAAATAATACTCCAGTTCCAGAGACCCTTCCATTCATGTCTGTGGCTTCTTGCAAGAATCCACAAAGTAGCTGTGAGTTTCTTTTCATTGCTGCATGTATTTTTAGAAATGAAGTACGAGACCATAGATTAAGAAGAAACTTGTGTTCAGGATGTGTGTGGTGTAGAGAACATATTTTCATTATAGAGTAAGCTAGCAGTGGAAAAAAGGCTGGATATTATTTAATCCCATTACAAGAAAGTTTTATGAAATCTCTTTGTCTTTAAAAAGAATGAATGAATCAAACGTGAGAAACAGCAGGAGTGGAGAGGTATAGAGCATAGCTGATTGATACTGCTGAAGGATCAGACTGCTCAGAACAGGGTAGCAGAGAAGCTGGCAAGGTATAACTCCTGTCTGACAGAAGCCAAGCACCGGAATGTCTCGGGATGCTCCTACTGTGATCATAGGCTCACAAATTTATTTATCAGCACCAAGCCAAATGCTGGTAAGGGGCATTTCAGTAGTATTAACCAGATGATGTTTCCTGAAGTTCCTGTGGCTTCCACAGATTACAGGTTTTACATATAAAACTTATTCCTTTCTAGCAAAGAGACTTGGGTGGGGAGGGAGGGATTTGCTCCTATTTTCCTTTTTTAAGCCTGTGCTGTAAATTACTTCAAAGAGGAGCAAAAGAACCTGAGGTATGCTGTGAAGGAGAGGGTTCTGTAAACAGCCTGAAGCCACTGCTCTCTGTTGTTAGTCAACAGCGTCAAAATAGTAGTAAGAGCTAATGTAGCGTGGGACCAGGACATCTCTATATTGTTCATTTAATGCTGTAAAAGGGCTAATACTGTATAAAGGTAAGTTGGGAATACTTCTGGTATCAATCTTGGTTTGATACATTGTGAAATTTTTGAAACACTTAATGAATAAGGCAAAAGCCTCTTCTCTCCTTGACTCCTTTATTTTCCTGTGTGGACCTGATGGCCTGGTGCAGCCCAGACATGTCTTTAGGAGTGAGTCATGCTAGTGGGAGGAAGCTTGGCAGGGGAGCACAAGTGTCTGAGCCTATTAAAGGCAGTGTCACTTGAAAGTTACCTGCTTAAAAATAACACGGCACATCTACCATTGCAGCAGCTGGTGAATAAGCAATGCCTCTCAACGGAGCAGCAAAAACCCTCAAAAGATAAAAAACCCAACTGTAAACAGAATAACAGCTGCTGTGAAACTAAATACCACAGTGATTGGTCACCCTGACACTTATTTGTGGTATCCTTTCTCACTGTTCTCATGCCTAGTTTTAGAACAAGGTAAATCTACTTGCTGGTAGAACATGCAAGGAGGTCTGTGGTCATTTCCTGTACAGATACTGGAGCTAATGGTGAGAAGACTCCCCTAGAACTGGTGAAGCCAATTGGTAGCCAACTGCTTGTGTTCTGCAGCTAAGGAACAGCTCCAGATCTGGCAGATTACTTTCATGGTATAGAAATTAAGCTTTCATGTAGATGTCAAATCCAAGTCTGTTTGATGTTATGTCAAGCAGAAAGAAAATCTGAATATATTCTGCATAAGGGCAATGTAAAGACTGCTTTATTGGTCGTTCAGTGGGGTGAGCAGGCATCTTCCCAAGTTGGCTTCTGTGGCTTGCCTCATTTTCTTTCTGTGTTCAGAAGTAAACCTGTTTTCTCACATATCTGCAGTTGCATAATCCTTTTTCTACTATGACTATACATCTTTGCCAACTACTAAAAATGCTTCAATGGAAGGAACTTCATTGCAGCAAGGTATTTTTAGCTACCTTCATCAGAATTTAGTGAGAACAGGGAAAGACAAAAGAACAGCTGGTATAAAATCATCAGCAAGCTCTTTAGGGTACCAGCATGTGCCCAATTCTGGTCCATTTGGCACTTGAGTAGTGTTCTGGTCTACTGTTGGTAAATCTAAAATTAATATTAAGGTAAGTCCATTAAAACACCTTTTATTAAAAGAAACTATGTGACAGATAATTTTTCAAGTTGCTAACTTGTATTTTCCCTAGTTTGAGGCCCACAGAAATACACAGTGCCCACCATTTTGAAGGGGAAAAATTATTTTTCAGTTCAGGCTTAGCTGGTGCTTCTTCAGAGTTTGATTTCACCCTGACCTTGCTATTAAAGAAACCTGGTTATGGACAGGGTTGATGTTTTTGATGCTCCATTTATAGCTGAAAATTTCAGCATGCCAAAATTATGATGTAAGTTACTCAGAGAAACACTTCCCAAATGTTTAACTTTGGAAAATAGCACCTTTGCATCTACAGTGCATGCTCTGTGCCTATATTTACATTGTAAATGTAATGCTTCTCAAAACTCAGCCATGGCTTTTGAAGTTGGCAGTGGAGGATTTTACTGAAGTTTGTTGTGCTGCTCAGTGCCTGATGCCTGTGTGTTAGTTAACTTCTACCACTTCTGAACTTAACTGTCAGTTAAGGCTTTGTCCTTGCCCTGAAATTTCTAGATGACTCTGAAAAGATATACTTGAAATGTTAAATGTAACTTCAAACTGTATCATTCTTCTCAGTAAATACACTAACTATGGTGGTTTTTTTTGGTGATAGGACCAAGTTCCAGAATAAATTCGATGATGTTTACAGAGTGGATTTGGAGAAGATCCTCCTCAGCTATAAAGCTTGGCAGACTAGACAGATCCTAGGCAGACCAGAGAAGGAGACAAAGGCAGGGTCTTGGTTTAGACTAGATGGCAAAGTAATAGTGTGAATTTGAGAGAACACATCCAAAGCACAGATACCTACAACAAAAGTAGAGCTGAGGGGGGAGAAAAAGCATGGGAACTGCTCATATCCATTTGTTTACCACAGTGGCAGCATGCTTATTATGCAGCTAAAAAGGGTGAGGAACACAGAGCTCAGTGAAATACACCAGTGACTACTGCGAAATGTGATCCTAGATGTTATCAATCATTATATCAAGTTAGTTCTGATACTTGGCTATAGCTGGAATACGGGGCTGAAAAAGGTGACTGGAACTGAGAATATAAGGTGACTGGAATTGAAACTCAAGTTTTCAACTTTCAAGTCAGCTTTGTGTATAGTATATGTAATCTTTGGTTTATAAGGCTTTCCTGTTTTTCATACAGGAGGAAAATATTGGCTTGACTTCCACTGGATTCTTTTTAAGCCTTAAGTTCCTGTGGTATTATCAGAACCTTTATCCTGAAAATACTCATTTGTTGTTACATTGGGACAAATAGAGCAAGTATCTGCTTGAGGGTATAATATAATCTTACACAGAACACAAAACCCAACACTGTCAAACTCTGCTTTAGCATCCTTGTGAGAGTAAAGCACCTGGAATAGCTGGATATTATGGTGTCTCCCAGTGCAAATTTTGATTCAGTTCTTCAAACAGACTCAACACAGTTTTACTGCCTCTGTGTTTACTGCATTTCATAAATATTTTTCTTTTTCTTTCAGCTTTACCTTCAGGCCAGAATGAAAGGGGATTGGGCAAGACTTGTACGTCCTACTATACAATTTGGTCTCATTGCTGCATCTATCTACGTGGGTCTCTCACGTGTTTCTGACTACAAGCATCACTGGAGTGATGTTTTAACAGGACTCATCCAGGGAGCAGTGGTAGCTGTGCTCATTGTGAGTAATTCCTGAGGGAGGGGGGTGTGTGTGAATGTTCAACTGCAAAACCATGTGGGCCTCTATATGTCATGCTTTCTGCTTCTAGCCAAATTCTAAATCTCAAGTACTGTGGCAGAGGACTGTGTACGAGGTAAACGAGGGGGGCGGGAACAGACACTCAGCTCAACCTCTTACAGCAGGCCTGGCGTAGTGGCACCAGTTGTACTGACTGTCACCAGGGTGCCATGGCTGATTGATCCACGGGAAGAGACAGATGTACAGTTCAGAGATGGGAGCTAACTGAGGTCATACTGAAGGATTCGGTTACCAAGAACTGAGGCTCAGCTGGGAAGAACCACCTCCAAGATAAATACTTTGTCAGCTCTCTAAAAAGTCCATACCCTTCTCAGGAAGCATATGGTTCATTTCAAGACTTCATTTACTTGTTGCAACCAATAATCAAAACAAATCTTGGAGCAACTCTGGGAAACCCTACCCCTCATTTTTGTAGAAAAATCTTATTTTCTAAGAAAAGTAGTGTAAGGAGTAAGAAACATCAGGGACTGAAGAGCTGAGGGCACTTTTATTAGGAAAACAAGTTTAGTGAAGGAGGTTGGATGGTTCAGAAGGTACCTTAGAGGTTCTTGGTAATACAAGAAACCACAGAAGGTGGCCTTACAGTGAACATTTAAAAGGTGAGGAAATCATTTTAAAAAATAGATACCACCACCAACCCTCCCCTCCCCAAACTCTTACCTGGAAAACTGAAGAGTTCCTGTCCAGAAACAGTGAGCTGAGGCAAGAGCATGCTGGGGCAGCTACTGCAACTGGACTGCTAAATTGAATTGAGCTAATCCAGCATTAGGTGGAACCTGAAACTTAACCTGGTTGGTGTCTAAAGCAGTTTGGTGGGTTGTTGAGCCACCTGCCAGTGCGGGAGACTCTTCTGCAATAAATTATGTTCTGCAGTTCTCAGGATTGCAGTGGGAGGTGAAGAGGTGATGTAGGAAGGGAAGGTGTCATGAGAGAAGACATCTCATTTATTGCACTCCCTGCAGCACTGTACCCAGATCATTTACTAATGTGCCTTGGTGAAGTGAGCAGCAAGCTGCAGAACTGGATCAAGGCACCTGTCTCATAGTCAGGGAGATGTCTGCCGGCTGTGAAAGAAGTGAGGTGCTATGTTCAAAGGAATGCAGGAAGAACTATTGCAGGTAGAGTTGGCTTTACAGGACTTATGGGGGAGGTAGAGGCTGTGAGCACTGCCAAGGAGAGGAAGCCAAGCTTGGTTTAACTGGCTTTAAAGAAATTCAAGTGAGAGTAACACCCCAGAGAATAACAGTTACTGACTATTGAACCCTGTTCCTCGGCTAAAGTAAAAGCTTTCCTGTCCTGTTCTATATAAATTACAGAACAAAATTTACCTGCACTTGCAATGTGGGCACACTTTGCTCCCTCATTTAGAGCTGTTCAAAGTATGGCTGCCGTAATGAAGCAGTGCCTGTAAGGCACTCAGGCACTCATGGTTTAAGCCAAATTCAAGGCCTGTGCTAACCAACTGCTAAGTGGTCATTGGGGGGGTGAAATGGAAGGATAAAAAACTATTTAAAGAACAGATGTCAGAATTTCACACAAGACTTCCTAGCCATTTTCTAATGTTTTACGCTGATTAAGGTTTTATTAGTCTTGATCATGGAATTTACCTTCTGCAAAAACTGTTGTTTCAAAGACTTACAACTGCAGGGACGTAACACTAATTTGTTCCTTTAGGTTGTGTATGTGTCTGACTTCTTCAAAGTGCGAGGATGTACATTTCAACCAAAAGAAGATTCCCATACAACCCTACATGAGACCCCAACAAATGGAAATCACTTTGGCAGCAATCATCAACCATGAAGAATGACCCCCATCACCTGTCTTGCTCTGAAAGAAAACAACTTCACAAGTTTAACTATGTAATATAAGTAAATGCCTTTAAGGGACTGCTGCTGCTCTTGGATGCTCACTTTACCTGTATATAGTAACATCTGCCACAGTTATTGTATATCTAAACATATAATTTCTGTTGGTTATAGCGGTTGCTTAAAAGAAAAAAGCTATTCCACTTGTAAATTTTTATTGAAAAACAGTAACAAGTTATATTACATACACTGCTGTTTGTATATGCCTTGTTGAAACAACTGTGGTCTAAGTACACACAATTAAAAGAAATTACTTGACATGGAAGTCACATGTGATGCTGATGAACTTGTTCCATCCTATATGTGAATATAGTACTGTTTCTGGAAGACATCTTTTACAGGTAAAGGCTTGCAGCAAACACAATATCTCTTTTGATTTTTGTAATCCCTATTAAAAAAGGAAAAGGGTATTAATATCCATCAGTCTTAAATGACACAATCACTGTTTTCAGTACAGTTACAAGCATGTTACAAGTATTAAATGGACGTCCTCCTACATTCATTTTCAGTCACAAACTTAGTTTAACTGTCATTATGTACCTCTTTTAAGTCAAACTTCGTAACACAAATGTTATCTGGAAAGATAACCAAGAGCAGTGATCCCATATACCCTGAAGTCAACACCAGAAGTTTACATTACCAATTCATTCACTTCTAGCCATCACTACTGTGCAGCCCCAACCCCCCTCTGGCACTTATCTTTTAGGTGCTTTCTAGAATTACTTTGTAGACAGTGAAAGTGAAATACATACCCTCTGCAAACTTGTTTTCCAGTTCTGTGTTCCCAATGGCTTTTGCAGCCTGGCACATCTGCCGAAGCAGTTCTTCCAGCCGCCTCATACAACGAATTATGCTTCCTGCATAAAGAGTGAGGGAAAACCTTGTATCACTTTCTGCCACATCATGTCACTGAGTAATTCAGGACCAAAGTAATACTTCATTCTTCAACCCTGTTCGATTTATCTAGAAGCCAAGAGTAAGAACAGCCATATGTCTTTAAACTTGGTTTCTGTTTGCACAGTAAATTTGTCTCTGAAGATAGAGGGACAAGGATTTGGAAACAGCTTCAAGGAAATGCCTGACAGTCTCTACCGAGTCATAGGACTTTATGGGCTGTTAAGTTATATTCCTAGGGGATTTTTCTTTCAAGTACTTCTTAAAACTTTCCTCAAAAACCATAAGTGATTAGGGGATTCAAAAGTTTGCTGCTTCAAGAACCACCAGAGATCTACTTTTGGTTTGGTTTTGTTGTTTGTTTGGGTTTTTTTTGTGTTTTTTGATAACTCTTAGTTCTTTAGTTGAGAGAATGTAAAAGAGTAAGTGATCTAACTTACTACTGCTGTGCCACTCAAGAGTCCATGGACTACTCTACCACTCAACTGCATGATTACAGTAATATAATAAAGTTCTGTCTTGACACAGCTCCTACACTGCAACCTAACACCCAATGTGATTTTTTTTTTAAGCATCCATCTCCTCTTGGAACTTTCCTTGCAGCTCAGCCTAAGTCACTGCTATGAGTTTCACAAAGACCTTAAATGCTTGTGGTCTTCTGGCCACAAGCAAACAAACAGTATCCTGTTTGGTCCTTCAGCAGCATCTTCTATCTACAGTCAAAACCACTGTAGGCAAGATAACTGTCATAGAGTAAACAGGGGATGACTGGACTGAGAAGCAGCCCTGCCAAGAGGGACTTGGGGGTGCTGGTGGATAAGAGGCTGGACATGACCTGGCCATGTGCACTGGCAGCCCAGAAAGCCAATTGTATCCTGGGCTGCATCATAAGCAGCGTGGGCAGCAGGGAGCGGGAGGTGATTCTGCCCCTCTGCTCTGGTGAGACTCCACCTGGAGTGCTGCATCCAGCTCTGGAATCCTCAGTCCAGGAAGGAGCTTGACCTGTTCAGCAGGTCAGAGGAGGCCACAGAAATGATGAGAGGTGGAGCCCCTCTCCTCTGAGGACAGGCTCAGAGAGTTGTGGTTGTTTAGCCTTGAGAAGAGAAGGCTCTGGGAAGACCTTACTGTGGGCCTTTCAGTACTTTAAAGGACTGGTAAGAAAGACAGGGACTGACTTTTTAGTAAAGCCTTCAATGACAGGGCAAGAGGTAGGGTTTTAAACTGAAAGAGAGTTGATTCAGACTACATGCATGGAAAAAAAATTTTTGTTCCGTGGCTGATGGAACACAGGCACAGGTTGCACAAAGAGCAGGTGGATGTTTTATCCCTGGAAACATTTAAGATCAGGTTGGATGGGGTTCTGAGCAACCAGATCTAGTGGAAGATGCTCAGTGAAGGGGGTTTGGACTAGATGACCTTTCTATGGTTCAGTGAAATACTATCTCTAGACAAGGCATAATATCTGGAGAAAAACTGTCTGTATGAAGAGAACATTCTACAAAGCTGCTGAAATAGAGAGAAATCATGAAAAGTAACACTTCTCAAAAACATTTATATGGCCTTAGTAGGTCATATCAGTTTTTATGGTAAGAACAGTTGGTGTAAGGGCAGCAATCTGTAAAACCTACTGAAGTGACGTGAGATGAAAAAACTCCCCCAAAGCACAAGCCAACACAAGTGACCCATGGACAGCTCCCTGAGCATGGCCACGCTGCACTGTGGCAGGCCCTGGCTCAGCTGTCAAAGATCCTGCTCATCTCCATCTACAAGCTGACCCCAGCTGCCATCCCAGGGAGTACTTGTTTACAGGCAGCGTAGCTGGGGTTGTTGCAGACATATTTTTTTAATGAAAGAAAAAAACCTGCATTTTTTGAATAAATTACTACTGCCTATATTTCCAAAAAATAACGAAGTTGATCTGCAGTTAACTGATGGGATACTTATCTCAGTTTTGCATTCTTCCTGACAGCTTTAAAAAGCTTCTCTCTTTTATTTATTCCCAACACACACATTTCAGCTTAATGACAATGCATTTTCATTAGCATGTCAACACTGCTCCAGTGTGTGGCAAGCACACTTGTTCTTGGAGCACTTGGGCTTCTTTTGTATTCTGATTTGGAAATCACTGTCATCACCTGGCTAACCAGGGCAAACTACCCTGGAATTTAGGAATACCACACTGCATTTAAAGTAAGCATAACCAACAGTGGATGCCTGAAGTGCTTTCCTTCCTTTTGGACAATGCACAGAAAGCCAGCCTATTGAAAATTAAGGGGAAAATCATGCATCAACCCTTGCCAAAAGAGCTGACCTCTTCAAAACAGGGCCAATAAGGTCCAATTTTGAGGGAGCTGGCACTACAGACTAGGACAAAGCTGACCAACTAGTCTTAGTACATATATGGTAAATGGAACGTGTTACTGCCCAATGTATTCTGAACAGTCAAGAGTCAATGTAAAAACATAGGGCAGCTACTGCTACTTTTGTGTTCCACCTACTCAGGGTGCGTCTGCTGCAGATGGAAGGCTCAGATACTCATTGCAAAAGGAGGAATCTGCTGAATCAAAGACTGTCAGGACTCCTGTTGCTCCCAGGCAACATACTTTAGAAAGTTCCTGGGTCTGTGCATTGGATTACATGCATGAATTATGTGCACAAATTCCCTTGTTTTAAAGGCTCCCATTTGCAAAAAAGAAGACATTTGCATTTGAGAGAGGCAGGGCAGCAGTGACAGTAACAACTTCAAAAATCAAAAGAATTTTCAAATATCAGTCATTGCACAGACTTGTAAGACATCCTACTGTTCTTCACAACTTTCAACACGGTTATTAGAAGATGAAATTATTTTTTTCATTGTGGTTTGACCTTCAGGGATGTGGTTTGTCATTTTACAAAGTATCTAGACTTTAAGTCATGATACTTATAAAAAAATGAAAATGAAGTCTTCTTCCTCAAGGGGCAATTATTTGTACTCCAGTTTTAGGAATCAAATTAACCCATATGACAGTTTACATCTGGGCTTTACAACTATCTGCATTGCACTGCTGTGATGAACATCTAAAACAAAGACCTGATTATCACTTTTTCCTTCTGTGATGATTAAGCCAGCAGGAGGAACTGTCAGCTGATTACCAGGTAAATAAAACACTTAACCATAAGGAGGGCAAGCACAAGAGACGTACTTCTTCATGACAGGCATTTGGACCATGGTATTTTTCCCTTTAACTAGAAGAAGTAAACATCAACTTTTGTCTTAACGCTTAGAATTTCTGAGTTTTACAGAAAGTTTTTAAAATAGAGATACCCTTTTAAAAATCTTCTAAGATTCTAAATTATCAACAGTGTAACTAGAAATTAATATATAAAGTCAATAATTTTTTTCCCCCTTCATTTTAGCCATGCAGATAACTGCATACATCTGAGTTTATTATAAGGGTTTTCAGAATTACCATTCTTTGTTGTGGAATTACCATCTCACACCTTCTAAAGAACAACTGATTAACCTACCTTCAAAGACATCAGTCATTTTGCAGATGTGAGCAAAGTTAGCTCCATTTGCCCATGTGTGCACAACATCCATTAGGTTGGGTCTGAAAGAATTTAAGTAATTTTCTTCATCAATTTCCAGTTTTGCTTCTGCTGACACCTTGGCGATCCTTTTTGCACACTCCTTTAAAATAAAGTATTTTAAATTTATAATACACTTTAAACAGAGTGTTTAACTGAGAGAAGACTTGTACATTGTTAGGTACTGCATACAGGATGAGGTTTCCTTTCTAGTGTGAAATTACTCAGAATCAGAAACTAAACCACCATTTACATTAAGCCTGCCTGCACTAACAATTTACAGTGCAGTAAGCAAGCTTATAAAAATTTTAAAGGCATGTTATAAATTAGCACAAATTTCTTGCAAACAATATAACTGTGATGGTAGTGATCAAGGGTTGGACTTGATTATCTCAGAGGTCCTTTCCAACCCATCTGATTCTATGATTCTGTGCAAAATCACATGCAGTGCCAGCCAAATGCACTGATGATCCAAGATCAGGTCTTTACCATGCACTTATTATACATTACTCATAAATTTTGCTCATGTTAACCCTGAGCACAGACAGATTTCTAATTACCTGCATTTGCCGAAGTGGTCCTGCCAACTGCTCTGTCAACTTGGGCATTTCACTGGACTGAAAAAGAAAACATTAAATAGGCTCATGTGCTCCCGTACATTTTCTCTACACCAAATGCAAAAACAGAAGTCTGGGGTGTGATACTGCCACCCTAAATTATTCCAAAAACGTCTCAAAAGTGTTATCAGGCATTAAAATTACTGAATTCCCCAAATACTTGTTTCTCAAACTAAAGCACTGTACACTATGCCACCACTATGAAAAAAAGCACCTACTCCGTGGATACTTCCAAAATTCCCTCTATTTAGCTGTACCATCATTTTGGACTGCCAGATGAACTGCCCTTTACTGCTTTTGACTATTAAAGCTTTTCTTTTAACAATATAAAACTTCTGCAAATGCTTTTAATAACTTAAACATAAGTGGCAAGGTATGAAAACAAGGCTGTTGAAAATAAAGCAACATTTTTATGCCCTTGCTGTTTAAACTCAAGTACTATTGTCGAGTGAAACACAATATTCTAATTAACAATGGCATACCTTGGTGCCCCTTCTACTAACAAATGTAATTCATTAGCATCTGCTACTCTTTTTTCTATATTTAGAATCAACATGAGTGACACATCTTGCTAGCTATTTGCAAAAATGTTTCACATGGAAGTTACTATATTTCCCCGATGATGTTAACCTATACAGCTTGTAGGTAGGAAAACAATGACATCGGGTATCAAATGCCCTTTGTTTTTGCTTTTAAGAACATATGGTCTGTTTTTAGCAGCTTTTTTCAGTATCAGTTCCATGTGGTACTGCCATTTCCATCAGTAAGTCAAGGGTTCTGTCCAAATAACAAAACATAGACATGTCTCAGAATTAAAGACTGCCTAGCCCCAGAGTGCTTCTTTCTGAAATAAGCATTTCTACATTTTAAATTATATGTAGGCATATTTATGTATACATACATAAATTTATGTATACATACATAAATATCAGCAAGTATGCTGAGAATCTATTCATGCTGCTTCATTCATGAGAAGGACTGCAATTTTATACAACCTTTGGCATGTCACTCATGAGGAAAGATACTTTAGCACTGAAGCTGCGATGCTTTTGTGAAGTTTAATGGGAGTTGACATCAAACACCTTAGGAAGGGACAAAAAATTTGCAATGGCTCAAATTGTTAGGACCGATTTCTGGAACTGAATTATTAATAATACTGTTGGAACACAGGAATGTCTAGAATTCTTGAACTGAAGAAGTAACTCACATTCTCTTGAAATACGAAACAGCTGAGTAGTGCAGTTGCCTGTTCTGCAGACAAGTCATTGAAGAGACCATTGAACATCATTTCTGTCAGGAGTAGTTCATCAGCACTAAAATAAAGACAAGGAAGCTTAAGGGGAAAGACTTCTCTCTAC